CTAAGCTGCCAGCACACACGGCCGGCTCATGTTCAGCTTTTCATCCACCAGAACCCCCAAGTCCTTCTCCTGAGGGCTGCAAGTGGTGGGGGCACTTTCACAGGCAGTCCCACCAGGAAAGAAAGGTAAGATTGATCTTGTAACTTCAGTTACTAAATTTAACCTAGAGAGGGTGACTTGGCTTCTCTGAGGTCATGGAATGAAAGTATCCTTCATCTCATGCCCCTTGGTTAGCCCAAGATGAAGTCCCGTTGACTCGTGTGCTCTGGACACTAACTTTAAGGCAGCTGAAGTTGAGGAAGGTGATCCTTATTCTCTGTCTTGAGCTTGGGATGTGGCTGAACGTCCCAGCCTCAGAGCTGCACCTGAGCAAGATGACAAAGGTCATGAGTCCTTTGGTGAGAGGATTGAGAGAAAATAGCTCCTGGACAGGAAGAAATGGAAGAGCAAGACATCACAAAGAGATTTACTGTCCAAGGCTCTGGACAGCTTTGCTCATTTGAGTGTGGCAGAGAGAATGGTCTGGAGAAAAAGCCATTTCCAAAATTTATTCAGAAATAGCTAAGAAGGGGTATGTCAGGACCTTTTTTGACCATATTTGCATGTACAAGACAAAGATTAAATCACAGCATGGAAAGGTTTGGTTAGAGGGATGGTAGAGGAGGACATATTGCAGAGGGAGGCTTAGCAGCTCTGTTGTGGATTTTGAAAAACAGGTTAGATGGACATTTGTCAGGAATGGTTTGGATCCAGCTGGTTCTGCTTTGAGATAGAGCAGTGGTCTCCAGGTCTCTTTCATCTCTAGCTTCTCATCATTTGTGCCATGCAATAAATGTGTATGGATATGTGCTGGCTCTGGTGATATTTTTACAAATATGAGCTTGACTTGAAACTCTGAATCTTAGCTGAGGAGCATCCAAAATAGGAAATAAGGCTTGACTCCATGTTGTGCATGAGCAGGGCTGAGTATGAACCAATTTAGATAGTTTGGGACCTTTGTTCTCATTTTGCTCCAGGCTCCAACCCCAAGCAGCTTTGACTTGAACATCATCTTTCATCCAGCTTTTGATAAACCTTGATTTTTCTCGCCTCCACATTCCATCCAAGCTGCCAAAGCCTCTCATCCATGTCTCACTGTTCCCATAAACCTTCATGTTCTTCTCCTCCAGACATACACTGGTTCAATACTGGTGGCAGTAAACCCCTACCAGCTCCTACCCATCTACTCGCCTGAGCAGATACGCCTGTACACCAACAAAAAGATCGGTGAGATGCCACCACACATCTTCGCTATTGCTGACAACTGCTACTTCAACATGCAGCGCAACAACAAGGACCAGTGTTGTATCATAAGGTGAGTCGGTGAATTTCCAAATGGGCCATATCCTGAAAATGGATGTGGAACACCTGCAACATGGTTGATGGGGAACAGCTTATCAAATAGAATCAGAAATGTGAATGATGTAATAGATCTTCCAACCCCATATTCCCAGTGTTGGGGTCTCTGTTTGCAGTCACTGTTCCTAGTAAAGATGCTTTATTCATCCTTTGGTACTTACCCTACAACCCAATAGACCTTACATTCACCTTTAACCTCTCCTTTTAAATTTAAACTCAATACCTCTACAGACATCAAAGGTGCAGTGGTTTATGCATTCTGCACAAGGAAGGACCGGGGACAAGTTTGAGCACTTTAGCGTGGCAATTTAGCCATGGGGCCATGGCTGGTTACTGAACACCAGGAAGGTCCATTTCAACCACTTATATTGGCTACCCCATATATCAGACCGGCCACAGACTCACACCAAGGGGTTTCTGCCCAGTCCTTCCTCTGGTACCGCTGCAAGACAACAGAAGTTATCTTTCAGTGGAGAAAGAGTTTTGGGGACTAACTCTTGCTTTCTGCCCCATGGTCTTGGCAGGACATGCCTAGGAGAACTGTAGTTCTAGGGGAAATGTACTTCTAGTACTTTTTGTCAGCTCATGACTGGTGATAAGATGCCCCATGGGACCAGCCAGCCACTGGACGACAGGTTCATGGTCTGGTGATCATACCTGGAAAGGTACTGTCAGAAAGTGCTCCCTGACCTTCTTAATGTGGATTGAATTATGATATTTGCTGGAGAAACCCAAATCCAAGCAACAGCTTTGGCCAAATAGACTGAAAAGCAAATCTGGATCTTCACAGAACCATAGAATCACAAACTGGTTTGGGTTGGAAGTAACCTTAAAGACCATCTAGTTCCACTCCCCTGCCATGGGCAGGGACACTTTCCACTAGACCAGGTTGCTCCAAGCCTCATCCAGCCTGGCCTTGGACACTTCCAGGGTTGGAGCAGCCACAGCTGCTCTGGACAACCTTGCCTGGAATCTTGGCCAGAAGCTGATCAGTGTTGTGTCCTACCATTTCTCCTACAACCAGCCCATGGGATGCTGGAACACTATCCTTAGTGGCCTCAGCCTACCTGTGCTAACAGAAGAGGCAGAAAGAGCAGTTCCTTTGGAGACAGAGAGAGACACACTGGCAGGGATGTAGCACTGACATTGATTCCTGTTGTCTTTGCAGCGGTGAATCCGGAGCAGGGAAGACAGAAAGCACAAAACTGATTCTGCAGTTCCTGGCAGCCATCAGCGGTCAACACTCCTGGATTGAGCAGCAGGTCCTGGAGGCAAATCCCATCTTGGAAGGTGAGGCCTCAGATGATGGAGGTAGTTTTTTGCTGGCAAAAAAAACCATTCAGATACAGGAACCACAATACATGGCCAAATGTAAGTCAGTTTGTTGTATTTTGAGTTTTAAAAAGTGAGAACATTTTTAAAAATACATAAAAACCAATTACATAAGCATTTGTTAAACAAAGTATTTGGTTTCTTTTCATCTGAATTTATTTTTCACAAGACAGATATTCTCTGATTTGGGCTCTCAAATTTTCCATTACTATTTTTGACAACTATTGTTGGAAGTGACGTTTCAGCTGGGCTGAGATATTTTCAATTGTTGTATTCACTTAAAATTAAAAAATGAGGGGTTTTCCACTAAAATAAATATGGTTTTTTCCCAAAAATTTCAAAATAGAAATCTGAATTTTACCAAACTGTCTGTGTAGTCTGGGATTTTAAACGTGCTGATCAACAAATACACAAAGCTCTTTTGAAAAATCTCACCACCTCTTCCGGTGCTGGAATTATAACTGTATGCAGAGCACCAACATATTGTAAATGCTGCATTCAACTAATTTTTTGTTTTATGTGACCATAGTTCTGTTCTTATTCTTTGCTGGTTCAGTACAACATGTGATTAATTTGAACAGAGCTTCACAGACCTGGTGCTGGCAATGCACAATAGCAAACCCCGCCTTTTCCTTCCAAGATCAGCAAATGGCAGCAGAATACAGAAAAAAGAAATAAAGGTAGACCAAGAAAGAGCCAGATAACAAGAATCGGCTTGTAGCCTGAATAGGTATATTAGCGAGCTGTTACTGTGATTGACCCCAGTGTTTTAATTGGATGTCTGCAAATTAAATAGGTGATCTGACCGTCTGGACCCAGAATGCTCTCAGATGGACCTTTTGCACTTATGCAGAAAAATAGCACTTTCTTTAAAGCATAACATTATTTTTACCTCTCCTACTACTCACAGAGAGCATTGTTTTGCCTGGTAAACAGCCCCATGGGAATCAATGGAAATGTGAATATCCTAACTGCTTTCCATGCATAATGTTAGCAGAGCAGACAAGAAAGTCACTGGCTGAGCTTTCCTTCTCCATGCTCTGTTGGAGCTTCCTTCAGTCACGACACGAAGGTGCAGCGAGGCTCTCGGGGCACCGCAGGGCTGCCTGCCCGCTAGCGTTGTACTGCAGCATGGTGCATGGCATGCACATAGGGTGTTTTTGAACGTGCACTTCATCACTCCTAGGACTGAGGGGAAGAGAAGCTCTGCATTTCAAATGCATCTCCATCACCTGCCAGCAATCCTGGAGCATAAATTCCAGGGCATATTGCCCAGGGTTCTCATGCCAATGCTCCTAACCCACACCAAGGATGGACATGGGTGCCATTCACTGCACAGTCTGTTTGCAGAGGGAAGTCTACCTGTGGAAGTTGGCTTGGACTCTGTATTTCCCTAAAGGATGAACTCTTTCTTTCCCTCTCAGTCACCAAATCACTCACCAGAAGCTCTGTCATTTCCCACACAGCGTCACCTCGCACACTGCAGCATCCTCCTGCCAGCCTTGCTCAACCCTCTTGTATTTCATCGGCTGCTGCCAAAAACCCTGCTGTCCTAGCCCTTCTTCCTGGATGAGGTCACCCCTTTCCCATGCCTCCTTCTCTGTGCTCCTCTCTGTATTTCCAAGGACAGCCATCTGCGGTATATACTGTTTCCCCACTCTGAGATGAAACTGAGCCAGTCAAACTTATCATAGAATCACAGAATCACAGAATGGTTTGGGTTGGAAGGGACCTTAAAGACCATCTAGTTCCAACCCCCCTGCC